CTGTATAACGACCCTAGTAATATAATTTTACTTGCCTTTACAACGATATAACCTGTATAACGACCCTAGTAATATAATTTTACTTGCCTTTACAACGATATAACCTGTATAACGACCCCATACAGTGGCAGACAAGGTGAGTCGAATATCTTCAGATGAATTGTTTGGCAACACCCCTGTATGAGGCTGAACGGAAACTTCTGTACCTATATAAGAGTCAAGGAATACATAAAGGAAGAAAAGTGGGGTTTGGTAAACCTTTGAAAATATGATGTCTCTCTTTTAAAAGAAAGTTACATTTTACATTTAGTCGTTACACCTGAATTAAGCTTCTTTTTTTTTTAAATTTCGATAACATTATCCAGTAAGTCAATAATACTTACTTGGAGCCGAAGAAAAGGCAACTACTAAAGATTTAGTCATTTTAATAGGTAAATACATCAAAGAACATTTGAAGAAATATCGTAGCATTGTGAAAGGAAGGACAGGTGTTAATCCATTGTGAAAGGAAGGACAGGTGTTAATCCATTGTGAAAGGAAGGGCAGATATTAATCCATTGTGAAAGGATGGACAGGTGTTAATCCATTGTGAAAGGAAGGACAGGTGTTAATCCATTGTGAAAGGAAGGGCGGATATTAATCCATTGTGAAAGGATGGACAGGTGTTAATCCATTGTGAAAGGAATGGACAGGTGTTAATCCATTGTGAAAGGAATGGACAGGTGTTAATCCATTTATAATTATCGAAACTTCCATCGAATACAAAAAAATTTGTTTTATTCAAATAGTTCTCTCTCTCTCTCTCCTTTTTTTGAAATTGAATATTTTATAATTTCCTAACAGAGCATGCAGATATGCCGACGACATAGCATTATCAAAACAACCATATATTCTAGACATATCTAAATATATCTATAAGACAGATCTAGTACTTGAAAAATAAAATAAAGAGCCCAACAAATACGAATGCTACCTCGATTTAAACATTGGTGTTATTAATAAAATATTTTACTTCAAGGTTTACAATAAAACAGAATCTTTTAATTTGAAATCGTAAACTTCCCATTACCTGACACAAACAATCCGAAGAAAATATACAAAAATGTTTACCTATCACAAGTAATTAGATTCACTAGAATTTGTTGTAATTTGGAAGAAAAGAAGCTAAAATACTAACAAACAATCCTCTAGGCAGAGGTTTTTGTTTCAATAAACTGAGCAGAGGTTTTTGTTTCAATAAACTGGGCAGAGGTTTTTATTTCAATAAATTGAGTAGAGGTTTTTATTTCAATAAACTGAGCAGAGGTTTTTGTTTCAATAAACTGAGCAGAGGTTTTTGTTTCAATAAACTGGGCAGAGGTTTTTATTTCAATAAACTGAGTAGAGGTTTTTGTTTCAATAAACTGAGCAGATGTTTTTGTTTCAATAAACTGGGCAGAGGTTTTTATTTCAATAAACTGGACAGAGGTTTTTATTTCAATAAACTGAGCAGTAGGTTTTGTTTCAATAAACTGAGCAGAGGTTTTTGTTTCAATAAACTGAGCAGAGGTTTTTGTTTCAACAAACTACACATGACTT